AGGTTTTGCTGAGGGGGTTATTTAACATTTAGAGGAACATGGGAGAGCAGAGATAATGTTACAATGTTCATAACCACCTATTTACAACATGCGTGGGTCATTAAACTGCCCAGTGTTGCAACAATTACTATTATTTATGTGGTTATATAATGTTGTTTAATGTATTTACCATTGTTCACCCTTTCATTAATCTCTTACACAAGGCTCTTAAAATATAAGCATGTAAACTACTCTTGCAATTAAATCTACATTAATCAACAAAGGAACTGTAATTGCATTAAGGTGCTGCACTGAGTTTCCCATCAAAAGAGGAAGAGGGTGTGGTGGGGGGAACACAAAACAAAAAAAAATATCAAAAAGAAGGGCTGTTTATGAACAACATTGTAAAACAGCACAAAACAGTCCCCAGCAAAAGCTCTGCTCGGACTAAAGCTCTCATTCTCTGCTTTTGGCTGGAAGGCCTCCACAGGTTTTTCACAGCTGGGCTGCCACAGCCTAATCATGATTCATGAGCCAAGACTACTCCTGCTCTGCTCACCCTTCTGACGCCATCCCCTAATTAGCAGGCAGCAAGAAGTAATCCTTCTCTCTCCATCCTTGTGTAAAAGATGGTCCACAGTAATAAGACGATCCAACGTACTCTAGGGTATACTCCCAGCAAGCCCCTGGAAACAGGTTTGCAACTTAGTAATATTTGTTTGCTGTGCACCAGGATGCAGTTTCCCTTCAGCTTCAAAAGAGTTGTGGAAAGGCACCAAAATCAAGGGGGAGAGCAAGTCAGGAATTGCTGGGTTTAAGAAGAGTCCAAAGCATAGAGCCGGGGGGAAGCTGTTGTAAATACAAGACCCTATTCTAGAGTTTCCAAACTGAAAACAATTATACTTGTATCATCAGACATTGCAAACAAATCGATAGCCTCTTATTTGATGATTCAAAACATATCCCATCATTTACATGTGAAAAGCTTAAGGAGTCATGCTAGATTCATTTCCGACCCAGGATCCTGGACTAAGTGTTTGTTAGGGTGTATGCATAGCATCCGAATAATTTTGAATACATCCACCACAAAAGCAGTGGAACTGAGGGCTAACAAATAACAGTCTTACCATTTTTGTAATTATTGCAGCTTTTTTTAAGAGGGAGATATGAAGGCGAAATTTCTAAAGCTTTCTTTCAGAGGATTCAACACATTTGGAAAGTACCATAACAGAACACACAGTCTCTACATGCTTTCTCTCATCACTGTGTTTGCTTTTTTCGTTTTGGTTTGGGTTTAAGGATTGTAAAACAGACTAGAGAGGCTGAGTAAGAAGCATGATAACGGACCAGATGGACAACCCCCCCTGAGGAAAAGAAACCATGTGGTCCTCCATGCTCTCCTCTCCAGCTTAGCCAGATCTTGTGGCTGGGTTGTGTGCGAACCAGTAACCTGCTCTTAGTGACTTTATGTAATAGTAACAGCAAAAGGTATAAACAAAATGCTTGTTGAACACTGAAATTACTTAGATAAATGTGGCATAATGTTACTTACTTTGGAACTATAATGTGTAATAAAGTATTGCTAAATGCTGAAAAACTGGTAAGCACGTCACTTACGATCATGGTGATAGGCACCTCAGATGGATGATAGAGAACATATTGTAATCACGTATCGAGGCAGCATCGCAAACATCAGGATGCCACACAGTGATTAATGTCTAGGGCTTTTTTTGGCTCCATTTAATAGACGTGCCCAGCCTCCAGCTGTTAACATTTATATGCCACTGGCTCAGAATATTAACTGTTTATTAGACAGCTTAAGCAGGATGCACTACGCGAATACACTCAGAGGACAAATATGTATTAGAAAATGTCTTTAAATTATTATCTCCAGAGATGCTAATAGATATTCTTTGTCCTTTACAAGCTACTCTTTTCACTTCAGGTATCAATGTATTTGTTATCCATAATATTGCTTTGCTAATAGTTTAATTATAAAAAGGCCAGATTGTTTTACTAATAGATTGATTATAGAAAAGGATTCCATTTGGAAAGGACAAATGAAGTGCAGTAATTTCTCCTACTGTCTGAATAAAACCTAATGAAACTGGAAAAAAAATACTTTTAACTCGGGAACTTTGGATAGATATTTCCTTATGGAGGAAAAACGGGCATCTTAGAACAACAAAACACTAGCTTTTCTTCTTTCCAGGTGCCTGGCTATTTTTAAAGGTATTTTTTAAAGTTTTTTTTTTAAAGTCTTTTTTTAATATATAACATATATGCTTTTTAAAAAACCGCAGTCTGCTTTTTTGCTGATACACATGCATAGTGAGTGTAGTGGCTCTTCAGTAGGGCTATCTTTGACTTTTAGACAATAAGCAACACGAAGAAAGATAAAAGAAATGTACTTTGCACAAAAATGGCAGTCTCTAAGATGCCAAAGAAAAGCCAGTGATCTGTACACAGTGGAAGACTGCTTCAGGGGATTAGTAATGAGGAAAAAAGAAAATCTCTTCTGAGCTGCTGATTCAAATACAGCCCAATCAGTAGTGACAAAGAGTCATTACTAGCCCCTTGCCTCTGCGCAATGAGTTTATCACGGCAGTTCAATTTTCAATGGACAATTATCAACATTACTAAGGAAAACCTGCCACTTCTGCAGGCTGCTTGAGCAGAGAGGCAAACAGGAGAGGGAATGCAGATTGAAAGCAGACTAATAACTCCCATGGAAAGGTGACTCTTCCATGACTAAAACCCTTTGATAGGGAAGAATGAGGATCTTGCATTGCCGCTGCCTATGTTGGACCTGTGCTGTATTTTTTATTAATACAAGACATCTCTGCAGAGTCATTAAACCAGCACCATTCTAATTATGCACCAGTGATTAAGCAGATGTGACATTGAGCGAGGAAAATGTTTGATTAACGATCCAGGTGTCTAACTTTGGAAGAGTACATTTAGCAGTGTGAATTTGGGGACAATGGAGCTTGGAAGAACAGGACAGCTTTTGATTTCAGCCGTACAGTCTGCCTCTGCAATGTTATGATCTGTTAGGACTGCTGGCCACCTTGTCAACAGACAACTTGGCACAGCAACATTTCCCATTGCTCGCTGCCAAACATACACCAACAAACTTACTGAGTCTTCTGCTCTGTTTTCAGCTTTTTATTCTACATTCGTATGAATAATCATTGCTGGAATTCACTTTATTTACCTCTAAGACTCTTAGCTTTTGACTGTGTAGAGAGAGGAGCTTTGCAGGAAAAAATACACTTATGTTTTTATTTGTCTCTGTTCCATACATAATTGTTAAATGGTTGCTTGAATATTATCCATTTTGGATCCGCTTCCCACATTTCTAATTAAGAGTAGATATCTAGCATCTAGAGCTCTCTCAGTCTGCATGACTTAAGGATAAATCAGCTCCATAAAAAGCCTAGAGAAGAGCAACTTGGTGAAAGGAGGGAACGCTCGCAGTGTGAAGCAGCCTGTCCATACTGATCCATCATTACTTGGCAAGACTGGTTTAGCATAATGGCCTGAATAGCCTGTCATGCTGGCATTACACTTGACATCGCACAAGCCAAATACTTGCAGCCAAAGCATATGAATTCCTCTGTGAGGAAACTCAAGTCTTGTCATTAAAGTCAAGTTTTATAGCCAGGGGTGTCCAAGCAGCTGCTTGCATTCAAGCTATACACTAAAGGCAATACAGAGGACTGACACAGTTAATCCTCTACTTAGCCAAGCAAGTGCTCACACACACATACCCAGATAAGAGGGAAAATGCTTTCTGCAATACTCTGTGGTTTGTACTTTACGGAAATTCACCTTTTCACCCACTTTTAATTGTGTCTGCCAGTTTTTTTTGGGCTAGGAGGTACCATGAGGCACATCCCAGTATATGGGGAAGGGTGCAGCTTACAGAAAGGGAGCCTCACACAGGCACCATTAAAATACAATTTTCTCTCCTCCCTTCTCCTTCATCTTTACATTGACCTAGGAAATGAGCTTCAAGTTCTTTCTCCTGAACTTCTGCTCTCCTCTTTCTAGTTTGAGGAGTTAGAAGAAAAGGTCACCAGGGGCTTTATGCTTTGAAATGAGGAATCTGTATCAGCAAAGGCCAGAACAGACCAGGAATAAAATAGCCTTTGTGAAAGACCACTGATGAAAATGAGTCATCCTTTTGGGTCTGCAGGTGCAAAAGATTTTACTAAATTAAAACTACAAGGATTAACAATAACAGCCAGTGGTCTGTATGGAGTATTTATGAGGAAAGATTGACAAGCCACGCGTTTATGCTGCAAAACCCTGATAAACAAGAACTACAGGGTAGGATATAAGTGGTATCATGGAGAACAGCAGCACCAAGCAAAACAAAAGAAAATGTAGACTAAAGCATTAAAACATTTCTTAGCAATTACTGCTAGTCCGAAACACATGCAAACCACTCATGTATATACTATTTACTGGTCACGAGGAATAATCTCCAACCATTTAGTTCACCATTAAAGCACAGATGAACAAGTAAGCCAGAGATTAACAGGACTAGGAAATACATTTTTGTTTGCATATTTAATTGCTTAAAGCAAAACCTTCATATGACTTTTGAACACTTTTCCCCTTTTCTAATAGGGAAAAGCTCTCAACATTTTGAGTAGCATTCCCCCGTTGTACGAACTCTCTTATCATCACAGACATCAGGTAGATTCAGCAGCACATATGCCAGGCACGATCCTTCAAGTGGCCTGAACAAAGCATGGACTACAGCCAACAACAAACATAGCCTCCAACATCTTGGTTATTTACACATAGGTTGAATAAAACAACAAATAACTTCAGCCAGAAATCATGCACTGACAGAGGAATGGATTATACTTTCCATTTATATATAATCTACTCTAAGTTATAAACATATTTTCTGTAACCTTTCAATATTATACTCTGTCACTCCTGCTGCAGGAAAAAATGCTAGCAGATTTCCACTAAGAAATGAGTAAATAATATATATTACTTACAAAAGTTGTATTTTCCAATAATAATGTAGTTGTATTTGTTTCTACATTCAGTTCAACAACATGTCCATTCCTATTTTTATACACCACTGCTGTATCTGCAACAACAAAGGCATAACAGTTAGCAAATACGTTGCGTATTTAATACATCTGTAGAGAAAAACAGCATATTACAGTCATTAGAATGTCTTTATTATAATATGCAAACAAGACTGAGAGATGAATTGCACTCATAATATCTAGTTTTGTTAATTTGCCTCATGAGCTTAAAAAATATCAGTTTATGCCATATAGCATGTTCACCTCACGCAAAAATATGATTTCACTTAAATGGAAACATTTTCTGTGGCAAAAATGGGATTGCTGTGAACGAAGTGACATCTCGAACGTAAAACCCCTCTCACCTAGATATCACTGTCACTCTGACACCTTAAGGTCCAACCATATTCACTATGAAAAGGTACCAAAGTACAGCTTTGCAAAGAAAAAAGCTTTTGATGGACACCATGTTCACATATCTCCTTAGAAGTAATTCCAACAGAACTTCTGTACTATTCCGTTTCTCTGGTAACTGGATTGACAAAGATACGTACTATATCCTAAGACAGTCCATGTCCTGTGTGATTAGTGCTGGGCCACAGAATACCAGATCGTCACATAAGCTGAATGTTAGCAAAGAAGGGTTAAAGCTAAATAGGTCCATTTATAGAACATTTAAAACACTGTGGGATGAACTGTCGTAATTTTTTCCTTCTATCACATACTTGATTTATAAGTTTCCATAAGAAAAACAATCGAATACACCTGAACTAAAGAATTACAAAAAAAAAAAAAATATTACAAAATTAATTGTGGCTCCCACGAAAAAAGACTTTGTATCTGGTTGTATCAATACCTGCAAAATTACCAAGAAATACATGATAACTACATATGCTTTGATTTAAAAGAAAAATTGGTTCCAAATTTCCCACTATTTCTAATAAGAGATTGAATAGATTAAGTGCTGATTCTTTCATGCTATTTAAAACCCATGTAAGAGATTTATATTTAATCAAATGAAACTATTCTGTTATAAAAATGTAGAATGCATAAGGAAAGTTCTAAATTAAGCCTAAAGGAAACACAAAAGAACTTTACTAATGCTCGGTAATGTCTGAGAAATTCATTGAAGATCCCTGAATTTTATGAAGTGGGAAGTAAACATGACTGGAGAAAAAGGTTATGCTATCATAAAAAATATGCTTTGCTTATTCAGAAAAAATGTAGCTGTATTTTAATTGACTCCACAGAAACTCTAGATATACAGCACTAGTGAATGTCCTCTGGTATGTTCCGTAAAATTAATGAAGCCTCATTTTAAGAGCTTACTAAACTATTTTAGGATCATGGCTGGGAAGTGGGGTGGGATTCATGGAGTTTAGGACAGGATTATCAGAGCTGTTGTTTATGAAGGAAAATTAGATTGTGACGTGTGGAATTAACAGCAACTTCTTATAAAGAAAAAGATTTCAAATATTCATTTTGAATAAAAAGAGGTAGCACCGTAGAAAGTTATTGTGGTTTCAGATTACTGGCTACTACAGAACATTAAAGTTTTTGCAACTTCTTTTAGGGTTTTTTTGCATGTATCCTTTTAGGTACCTTAGTGCTGAAAATCCCCAATGATGATGTACCATGGTGCTAAGCAATATTATAGAAAAAATAAACTTGTCTGGACAAAGAGCTGTCCCCGATTATGAGTAAACCATAATGTGAGAAATGGCACGTATAGCCCAGGACA